TGCAGGGGAGGGAATGCAACCGGGGGGGGGGGGGCGCTGGGGCTGAACCGGGGCCTGAGTACCAGCCACGCACTGAGGTGCGCCGGAGCGTGCAATGCAAGCAGACAGGCGTGCGGATTCATAAGGTGGGTTTGCCTTGAATATGAGGGAGGGGCTGTCAACGTATGGGAAGTGCTGCTCGGCCCTGCCGTCAACCCTCCCCGGCCCACTGCGGCTTGCAAAAGTGAAGCGGGCTGATCTTGACGAATCAGGGCTCTCTCTCTCTCTTTTTTAAGGGTTTATATAAGAATTGTCATCCTGACATAAATTATATGAGGCACTGGCAAATCTAGCATGTATTTGCTATACTGAGAACTGGCATGGGGTGGTGGGCAATGTTCCCTCTAAGCTGTCAAGTCTTGTGAGCAGAAATTCTACTTTGTGAACTACTGGCATTAAAATTGTGAGCAAGCAATTTGGCTACTGCATAAATTAGTTTTCTCTGGAGCCATCCTTCCTGAGCTAAGACAAAAATGTGTGAGCCGGAGGCTAAAAAAATGTGAGCTAGCTCACACTAACTCAGCTTAGAGGGAACACTGGTGGTGGGTAGAGCGCCAGGCTACGATTCTGGGGCATCCAAGTTCCGATCCCCATTCTGTTGTGGAAGCTCGGTGGGTGGCCTTCTGCCTGTTATTCTCTGTCACCCTGTCCTACTTTGGGGAGTTGTTGTGAGGTCCCTAGTTACGGTTGGGCATCTCGGGGCTGGGCCCTCCGATTTACTGCCCAGGCCTCCCAACTTCCCATCTAGCAGGTTTATTTTATTTTTCGTGCACGCCAGGACCAAGCTGAACTGTCACCCTGCCTGCCGGACCCTTGCCCCTCCCCTCCCTCATTGCTTTTTTAACTTTTACTCTCTCTCTACCTTTATCTCTGCGGTGGCTCAAGTGGTTAAGATGCTGAACTGCAGGCTGTGGAAGGTCAGTAGTTCAGCAGTTCGAGACCCGGGTGCCCGCATGATGGAGTGAGCTCCCATCTCTAGTTCCAGCTCCTACCAACCTAGCAGTTCGAAAGCAAGAAATTGCAAGTAGATAAATAGGTACCACTTTGGTGGGAAGGTAGCAGCGTTCCGTGCGCCTTGGTGTTTAGTCATGCCGGCCACATGACCACGGAAACGTCTCCGGACAGCGCTGGCTCTTCGGCTTGGAAACGGAGATGAGCACTGCAACCCTAGAGTCGGATTTGACTGGCTTTCGAGCAAGGGAAACCTTTACTTTTACCCCTGACACAGCCTGGGGGGGGGGTGCCCTCTGAAGTAAAAAATCCTGGCTATGTGAGGATAAAATGGAAAGAGGCGAGGAGAAGAACAAGCTGTTTTGGGTCCCCACTGGGGCGAAAGGTGGGATATAAGTGAAGTAAATGAATAAAAGATCATTGTTTCCTGAATATGAAGTCTCTCCTTTTTTACATTCTGAATATCTTATTAACCTTTTGGTTACCTCTTTTTAAATTTAGGCTGCAGTCTCCTAGGCCCATTCTGCATCTAGCATTCGTTCTGCTGTTTTACCAAACCCACCTTGGAACAGAAATTCCCCTCTACATTGCATGCCACTTTCACTTGCTTTGTTGGATTTTATGGTCGCCTCCACATTGCATACCGGTTTCACTTCCTTTGATCTCCCGGTTTTATGGTACTGTCTGCATAGATTTGTGGCCGTTCGGGGATGACTCTGCAGTCAGTACAGCGTTGGCCCGGGGTATTTGAATGTGGTTTTGAGCTGCATCTTTTTCTGTTCCAGTGTGGGTTTGGTAAAACAACAAAGTGAATGCTAGATGCAGAATGGGCCTTAAACACAATTCAGGAAGTAAGACTGACTCCTGAGTAAACCTCTTCATGTCTTGTATAGTGATTGACGGTGTCACCCGTTCTGGATGGGGCTGCAATTCCCTTGACGGAACGGGTCCATAGTCTGGGCGTGCTCTTGGCCCCAGTCCTCCAGCTGGACAAGCAAGTGGCAGCTGTGGCCTCTCCTGGACAGACAAGATCTGGCCACTCTGGTGCACACCCTGGTGACATCTAGACTAGATTACTGCAATGCACTTTATGGCTGCAGTCACACAGAGCATTAGCCACGCTACAGAGACGAAAGATAGGCAGATTTTCTGGGCGTGATCAAACCGCAACATCTGGGAAGCGTAGAGCTCCCATGGTGAACCCGAGGCTTCCCGCCAAAGATGCACCTTAAAAAACTAGTACCTCCGAGGTACTACTATCCGTAAACCACGGGGCAAGGGCGGGTGTCTGATCACGTTTCCGGTGGTAGCTCGTGGCATCCAGTGCCAGCCCATGTCCCGTCGCGAAAAGGGTTTTGTTTTTTTCAAGTCTCCACGGGATGCGCACAAGCACCCAACGGCGCATGCGCACACTTTTAAAAAAACAACCCCCGCCTCGCCACTTCTTTGCTGTGCCACAGGATTGACATATGATCGGCACCTCCCCCCGAACCACTGGACGTCGGCAGGATGTTTGATCCGGCGGCCACGCGGTAGTTTGATCCGGGGCAAACAGCCACGCCTCCCCCCCCCCGCGATATCCGGCCCGTGTGACCGGGGCCTATATAGGATTTCCTTGAGAAGTGTTTGGAAACTTCAGTTGGTGCAGAATGGCACCACTAGGATATTGACTGGAGTGTAGGGCCCCTGTTACTCCAGTCTTGGCCCATCTACACTGACTTTGTTTCCAGGCACAATTCAAGGTGCTGGTCTTGACCTTCAGAGCCCTGTACGGTTTGGAACCAACATACCTGAAGGACCACCTACTTACC